ATAACTGTTAGGAATATTTCCTAGTGCAAGCTCTCCACAACGCAAATTCCCAATCAAGCCAAATCAAAACAAGCCAGATTAAAAGATATCCAGGTTTAATGGAGTTCTGCGCTCTGGGGTGGCCCCATGGAAAGCCTCACAAACCTAATGCGACCACCTGGAGGAAGAAAAGGAGACCACGTGTTCCTCTTTTGGGAGTTCATTTAAATACCCTGGGGGTCAGGACCTGGCCTGCTGGGATTTGGAGTCCAGAGGGCTAACTCTCAGGGTCAGGGGGCTAGGATAGATTCTAGGGGCTGGGGCCTAAGCTCCCAACTTAACAATAACCCCCCCAGGACATGACTTCAGTGAGACAACTAGAATTTATTCCAGAGTATGTGTGTGTGTGTGTGTGTGTGTGTGTGTGTGTGTGTATGGTTTGATGGTGGTCACTGGGGAATCACCTAATTTGCATTAAAGTCTTAGCTACCATAAGTGCAGCAGGGGGAAAGCATCTAGTAGGAAACTATGCCAAGGGTCACACTAGAGATAAATCAGGCTTCTAGGCCTAGAGACAGCCTCCAGATAAGGACAGGTAGAGAGCAGGAAGTCCTGGCTTGGGAGGGAGTCTCTTCTGTTGCACAGCTTGGAGGAGGCTGCCGGGCCACGGCAGACAGCAATCTCTGACCAACATGGCCAACAGGGCCTCCTCACGTTGCCCTGAAGCTTCCAGAGACCAGGGCCTTCAGTTTCTCTTTTCTGGCTCTTTACATTCATCCATCGATCGATCTTCAGCCTCAGTTCCGGATAATTTCTTTGTCACCCCCGCGTTCCTGCCCGGGCCATTCTCTTAAACCGTCCAGCTGCCTCTTCTTCAGCTTTCAAGCAGTGGCTGCCTTGCTGCTCTTGCGGCTTGGCTGGCCAACTGCTCAGCTGTTTCTGCTTCTGCTGTTTCACGGCCAACTCTGCATTGTGCCACACTGTTCGTTCTTTCCTGTTACTGTCTCAATCCACGCGTCTACAAGTGGCCAAGAAAGGACCACTCAAGAGAAGGCCTTTATTTTAACCCTAAAGTCACACCACCAGGAAAGGCCCCGTGGCAGGAAGGAGGCTCTCTCTCTTCTGACTCACCAAGTAAACTCAAGAGCCTGTTTATTTACACAGTTAGAGAAGGGGTTGTTTTCACCCATCAGAACAAAGTTCACAAGCAAACGAAGGTTACTTTTGTACCAATCAGCTCAGCCCCTTCCTTGAATAGCACTGTCAGCAGCGCCTCTGCTGGTCAACCAGGGGAAGTGTTTCACCTCTCGTGGGTTGGGGCTGGTTGTAAGGCCTTTTAGAGCTCACGGAGGCTTGTCATTGCAAAAAACGCGGCATAGAGGGAATCAGTAGTGACTGGGGCAGCATCTCCAGGAGCCAAAGCAACCAACTGCAACTGTTGCATATTTTTCTCCAAGGGATCTGTGGAGAATTCGGGATGACCAGCAGCTTCAGGGCAACTGGGCCAGCTGTTTGGCAGTTCTTTGACTCAGGGACAGCCAAGGTAACAAGAGAGATCCCAAAAGCTGCCAACTAGGGAGCTAAAGTAACCCATTCTCCAGTGTCTTTGCTTATTTCCAGGAAAATAAGCATCAGGAATGCTTAAAATCTAAGCACAAAGAAATTACCATTGACATGGTGATTTGAGCAGGTTTTACCAGTGCTCTGAGGGTGCCTAACACACAGAGGTGGGCCCACAGCTTCTCAGCCCCACCTTCACAGTTTGTCCTGAGCAAGTCTCTTGACTCACAGAGAACAAACACAGCTTGACATGACTCACACAATAAGCAACAAACCAGCAGGCAGAAGTGGGAAGAATGGGTTTTGTGGACGGGCCGGAGAGAAGCAGAAAAACTGGCTGCCTCTTGAGTTAGTTTGTCTAAGTAACAAATGCTTTTTGAATTTGTGCCACGTGCAAACGACCCGTCAGCCACAAACTGACCCCCCTCTTCATATGGACTCAAGTTTCCTATTGCTCTTGCCTCAGCCCCTCCTCCTCTCCTCTGTGGGCTTCTTCTAACTCAGAAGTGCAGGAAAACACGTGGATTCAATCAATCATGTTGTCTGTAAATCTATCTAGCTTGGCATCTGTCTGGCTCACTGATAGCCGTGTGACAAAGCCCACCAAGGCTTGGTGGCTTAAAAACAATAATCCTTTTGTCACTCGTGATTCTGTGGGTCAACGGTCTGGGTGGGTGGGGCTCAGTGGGCATGGGTTGTCCTACAGGTGGGCTCATCTAGATTATTGGATCAGTAAGGCCTGCTGGATCCAACAGGCCTCCCTCCCTCCCTATGTGGGCCCCATAACGCCTGTTGTCTACCCATTACACCTCAGCTTTCTGATGGAAGAGGAAAGATGATTCCAACCTGGTATGCGTGTTGCATGCATATATACATGTATGAATGTATACATATGTGTATACATGTATGTGTGTTATGTGTGCATGTATGTGTATATATCTATATGTGTACGCGTATGTGTGTTGTATGTGTATTGCATGTATGTGTATGTACATGTATGTGTATATTGTGTGTATGTTGAAGGAGCAGAACAAACTCCATTTTAAGAAAGAGCTCTATTTTAGACAGGACCTAACTAAGGGAGGGAGGTGAATACAGCCCAGCAAAAATCATAACATTCCCAAGAAACTGTACCAGCCTTGGTCAAAGTGACCCCACCAGAGCATTCAAGCAACATCTGCTCGCTTCAAACGTCCCTGTAGGTATCTGATTAGCTGCTGTTTTGAATTTTTTATCTGCTGACAGTCACTGTTTTGAAATTCCCTTATACCCCAACCAACAAATTCAAAAATTGTATACTTTCACCCAATCCCAAAACGCCAAGGCCTGTGCCACCCTGCTTGCAGTTTTCCCTTGAAAATCCCCTTACCCTGAAGCCTCGGGGTCGTTCTCCCACACCCGGTGTATCAGAGGCACGGATTATAGTCCGAGTTAGCTAACTTGTAGTCAATAACCCCCAGTGTGTTAGCATCGGGTGCCGGCTCTGTGGTGGTCTTGTTTGGGGGTCCTGTGACGGACGCTTGCACAACAATGTACTTATATGTATGTGAGCGTATGCATGTGTGATGTATGTATATGTATTTACACTGGAGATAAAGCCCAGACTTTGGGCCTATCAAGCACATCCTCTGAGTTATGTCTGCAGCCTCGGACCTCATTAGAACACTGCCAGGTCACTAGGGTTGGTTTAGTACATTCTTTCTTTTCTCATTGAGTGCTTATAAGGCTTTTAGATAGTAGCTGGAGGCAGAGGCAGGCGGATCTCTGTGAGTTCGAGACCAGCCTGGTCTACAAGAGCTAGTTCCAGGACAGGCTCCAAAACCACAGAGAAACCCTGTCTTGAAAAACCAAAAAAAAAAAAAAAAGATAGTGGCTGCCTGTGCCATGATATTTTGTTTGTGATCTAACAAAGTTTGCCCGAAGATCAAAGTGCAGAACTAAGCCACTAGTCATAGAAGCCCAGCAGTGGTGGTTCACACCTTTAATCCTAGAACTCAGGAGGCAGAGGCAGGCGGATCTCTGTGAGTCCAAGGTCACCCTGGGCTACACCACATTGATCCAGTCTCAAAGAGAAAAACAGAGTCAGGTGGTGGTGGTTCACACCTTTAATCCTAGCACTCAGGAGACAGAGGCAGGCGGATCTCTGTGAGTCCAAGGTCACCCTGGGCTACACCATATTGATCCAGTCTCAAAGAGAAAAACAGAGCCAGGTGGTGGTGGTTCACACCTTTAATCCCAGAACATGGGAGTCACAGGCCTTTAATCCCCCAGCACTAAGGAGGTGGAGACAGGAAGGGAGTCTGAGATGCAGTCTGAGGATTCATAGAGCCAGGATCACCCCTTCAGTCTGAGAATTTGGTAGAGGTAAGGTCTCTCTAGTGGCTGCTTCTCTGACCTTCAACATTAACCCCTATATCTGACTCTGGGTTTTTATTATTAAGAACATTAAGAATACGTGCTGCATGCCTGGGCCCCTCAAGCAACTCATTTGCTAACAAGGTGCGGGGCTTTGCACCAAAATCAGGGTCCTCTTTGTCTGCAAAGTGATCCTTAAGAAAATGAAAGGGTATTTTGTTCGTGTTTTGGTCGGGGAACTAAATTGATCTAAAAACAGTTGATTTTTTTTTTCTAGTAAGAAAAAAGACTATGGCTCAGAAGCACAGTGTATGCTTAGAACTGTAAGGTTCAGGGTTCCGTCCTTGATAGAAGGGAAGGGTAGATGAGGGAACAGAGAGCAGGGGAAGATAGGTGAGAGGAGCGGGGAGTTACGGAACGGGAGGTGTACTTCACCTTGGGAAAACCCAGAGAAGACAAATCAGTTGCTTTTCTTGACTCGTTCCTTCCCCTCTGCTAGCTTCTTCCCGGATTTTCTGTTTATCCGTCACCAGCCGTCACCAGTCTAAGACTTCCACACAAACACAGGTGAAGCCAAACAGAAATGAATGGGCACCTGCAGGGCACGTCAGTCTCTGCGTTGACTGGTTATCTTGGAAATACCCACAATGCTCAGCGGGGCATCCTGTGTGCCTTAGAGTTGGCAGCTGACAGACACAAGGAGCAAGCATGGTTACAGCCTAGGCTTGGAAGACTGGGGATGGCAGTGAAGCCTTCATTAGCAATTGTCTGCTACCTGTGACCCTTGACCTCTCCAGGTTTCCAGTCCCACAGCTGCAGAAGAGGGACACACTCGCAAGTACTGGGCAGGATGGGAGTGGCCTGACCCCACAGGTTGTCAATCGCAGCCCCCCTTTCATCAGCTGAACCAAGCTCTTCTGGACTGCCCTCTCCTAGAGTTGCCCTCGGGAGACCCCGCACCCGTCACTCACCTCAAGCCAGTGGCATCACTAATGAGTCCTTTTGCCAGGAGCACAGAGAGCGCCAGCATTAACGACGTCACATTTATCTATTGTGCTGAGAGGCCAATGTGCTACAGTACAGCTCTAAATTCCGCAGCGGCCCGTAGTAAGCCCGTGTGCTTTCGCTCTGTGTTGCCTTGAAAACGCAGGTAAGCAGTGGCTCGTTCACATGTTATGGACTCTTGGGCATAGATCTGGATCCCTAGAACTGATGCTCAAGCACTTCTGCAAGGACCTGAAAACCAAACCCTGTACCAGGCTCGGTGGCGTGAATCTGTAATCCCAGCACTTGGGATATTCAGGCTGCAAGATCGTGACTTCAGAGTCAACCTAGTCTCCATTGAGAGTTCAAGGCCAACCTGGGCTGTAGTGAAGGCTGCGCCAGGTACATTACAAGGGCCAATGTAGTGTTAACAATCTACTTGGAACTCTCCCCTGAAATGTGAGCCAAGGATGAGAGACAGCGTCACGTAGTAGTGAGGTTGGAAAATAGCCGGGGCTTCCGCTGGGAGCCTTGCGCTCCTCCATTCTAGTTTTCCTTCTGCGCAGTCTCATTGTGTCGCCCATAAACACCTAAAAATAAAGGGCTTTACTATGAATCTGGGTGTGCTATTTCTGTCTGGACATGCGGTAGCTCATGCTTGCCATTCGAGCGCTGTTCAGTGAGCCGAAGACTACGTGCAGGATGTGGTTTGACCAAGTTGTGTATATATAGCAAGTGATCAGGACAAGTGAGCTATTTTTATGAAAGCTGCTTAGGTTTTCATCCCAGATGACAGCCTTGTACAAGCAGAAGAAGCTGGAGAAGTAGTGTGCACTCCTGCAGGATTCAGTTCAAGCTGCTGCATTTTCTGCAGGATGCCACGCAAGGCTGACAGCTGTACCTTTGCAAGTTTATCTTCTGCTATCTCAGTTTAATCACCAAGTACTGTCTGAAGCCTCACGTGGCCAGTCATGCAAAAGTCCACGCTCAAATAGTTCAGAAACCCATTCATGGTCTAAAGGTTCAACTCAGGATGTGGGTTCCATCCCAAAGCGGCAGCCGTCACTGTGGAGAGTAAATGTCTAAACCTAACCTTCAGAGAGGTTTTTTTTTTTTTTTTTAATTGTGATTGTTCATTTAGATGGTGGTGCTACAATACCAGGATGGACCCCAGGACTTCACGCGTGTTAGGCAAACTTTCTACCACTGACAAATAGTTCCATCTACCCTTTGCCTTTCTTTTTTTCTTTTAGTTTTGACACAGTCTTAATAAGACTTGCCTAGGTTGGTCTTGAACTTACTCTCTAGTATAAACAAGCTCTGAGCTTGCCTCGGCCTCCTGGGGAGCTAGGATCACAGTTTCACATCACCAGGCATGGCTATGAACTTCAGTTTTGTGTGTGTCAAAGGAACATATGTGTCAGGGCTACTGCCACAAGTGTAGAATGAACCCCAGCACCAGAAGACGAAGGTGGGAAGATCACGAGTTTTAGGCTAGCCTGGACTACACAGTAAGACTCTGTCCCAAAAAAACAATTGTTTACCTTCAAAAGCCAAAAGTTTGACAATGAAGAGACAGGCACAGTGGTGCGCATTTGTAATCCCAGCACTTGGAAAGTGAAAAAGGAGAGTCAGGAGTTCAAGGTCAGGCTCTGCTATATAAGTTGGAGGCCAACCCAACGCTCCTGAGCCCTCTGTCAAGAAAAGAAGGGGGAAAAAAGGAAGAAGATTTTCAATGAAAAGAAAAAGTCCGCAGTAGTGCCCACCTGGATCTTAAAGCTCTCTCGTCTATATTTCTAAATACTATGCTTGCCCTGATTTTCCTAGGCTTTCCACCGTCCCTCTTAGAAGATTATTCTCATGGCGCCATTGTTCAGCATTCACTCTTTCAGCTGTGTAAACATTACCCGATAAGTCACATCGATTTTCTTGTGCAATTTTTTACCTGTAAGTTAATAATTTGCTTAGTTTTCTATCTCTAGCTCACCATGAAGGTCAGCCTGACTTGCAAATTGCTTCTCAGTCACTCACACCCGTGGGGTATCCTTTCAGGTTTCATTTTCCTTGACTACAATCTTTCTAGAGTGCTAGTGCTTCAGACTGCTGCTTCCTTGGGACTTCATTTTATGTACGTATGTATGTATGTCAGGGTTTCACCAGTTTGTCCAGTTTGGCCTTAAATTCACAATCCTCCCGAATCAGTCTCCCAAGTGCTGACATTCTAGGTCTGCATCATTACACCCAGCTCCCTAGAACCTTCCAAGGGCTTTTCCTAGCTAAGACGAAGTAGAATTTATTTTAGCATCTGGTCAAATAAAGAAAAAGCTATTTTAAGCTACTCTTGTAGGATGTTGAGTATTGAACATGAACAAAACGGTCTCCTGCTTCGACAAACTCTGGAGGGGGCAATCCACGACACAAGAAGAAATTAATACTATAAGAAGAGGATGACTTGGGGTGCTGGAACCCCAGCTGGACTGGGCGCCAGACAGTTATGGATTTGATCCTGGTTCTTTCTGCCCCTGTGTGACTCTAACTGGGCTCACCCAATCTTGAATACAAAGATGGTAAGAGCAACCAAAAAAGGAAACTTACTTGCAGCAGCAGAGGACCACATAGGGCTCATTTCCAAGTCAGCATCTCCCCCAACAGATGGTGCAGAAGACCAGGTTGGGTGGAGAATTCACATTATTATGGTATTATAATGATCTAAATTGCTTAGGGGTTCTTAAGCTTTCTCTGATCATGACTTCTTTACATCTGAGAATCTTTTTTACTACCTTTATTTATTATGTATGTGCACATGTATGCACAGGGCTTGGCATGCATGTCGAGGTCCCATGACAAGTTGAGGGTATCAGTCTCTCCTCCCACCTTAGGGTCAGAAATAGAACTCAGTTTATCAAGCCTGACCACAAGCACTTTACCCACTGAACCATCTCACCAGCCCAACACATCTGAGTCTCAGTTTTATTTGACGTTGGATGAACAGTCATATAAAAATGGTGTACCAATCATTTGCTGGTAATAGCTCATGTTTTTTTTTCTTTTAATTCCATGGTACATGTATAATTTTACCATTTAGTAAAGGCAAAAGAGAATTGTATCAAATGAGGTTCATGTGCTTATTTTTATATAAAGAATTTACGCTGAAGGATGCGGATCATCTATAGACTCCAATTTTTATTTTACAATCATCTGTGCTGATGTCGCTTTATGTAAAATGGCAGAAATGTGTTCACAGCCATTTCAGAAATTGTTGGAAATTCTCTAATCACAAACCAAACTTCATTGAACAGGTTGCGCAGGGGAGTCGGGGTGATGGTACAGGTGTGCCTCAGAGGTCAGAAAGCAGCTTTTAGTAGTCAGTTCTCTGCTTCCACCTTTACTTGGGTTCCAAAAAGCAAACTCAAGTTGTCGAACTAGCTGTCTTGCTGGTCTCCCCTTGAAAAAAATGTTTAATGAAATTCAAATCAGCCACTCAAGAAGTAGGGAGTTTATGTTGTTTGGGCTTTGTTATTGTTTTGGTTGTTTTGAGACGGTATCTCCTAAAACCTAGACCAACCTTGAAGTGCTTTTATTTTTTTTAAAGATTTATTTATTTATTGTGTATACAACATTCTGCCTCCATGTATGCCCAAACGCCAGAAGAGGGCGCCAGATCTCATTACAGATGGTTGTGAGCCACCATGTGGTTGCTGGGAATTGAACTCACGACCTCTTAAACACTGAGCCATCCTCCAGCCCTCCAACCTTAAACTTCTTATCCTTCTACCGCTACCTCCCAAGTGCTAGCTAGCTAGGATTATAGGTGTAAATATATCACCATGCTCAATTTTATGTGGTGCTGGGATTGAACCCAGGCCATTCTTGCTAGGCAAACACTCTTAATGATAAGAATGTCTTAACACCTGAGACCTACAGACTTCCCCCATTTTGCTGTGCCCGCCCACCTACCTCATGTGTTTCCACCAGTCTATTTTTACCATGTCTTGATGGCCAACAAGATGGCCCAGGGAGTAAAGGTGCCTGCCGCTCAAGCCTTACAACTGACGTTAGCTGCCTAGAGCCCATGTAAAGATGTCAGATGCACACATCTGTAACCCAGCACTCCTGTGATATGGGGGGCAAAAAACAGGAGACTCACAGCTAGCCCAAAGCTCAGTGCAGCAAAACAAATGGAGGGGCACTTAGTATGACGTCATCTTAGGTTCTAATTTTGAAATCAATTTTTGTTAGATACGAGAGCATATGCTTAGAATATCTTTGTCTATCTTTTTATTCTGAAGTTACAGCTGTCTCTGAAGGTCAGGTGCATTTCTTGGGACTAAAAACAGATGAATCCTGTTTGATTCAATCTAGCATTCCATCTTTTGTCATTGTTAATTTTTTACTACTCATATCCTCATTTGCTTAACTATTCATGCATTTTACTTTTTTTCCTCAATGATATGTTTATCTTTCTCTTCAGTCTGAAGGATTACTGCAAGTATCTTCTGTATTACTTCTGCTTAGTGATTATGAATTCCTTCGGTCTACTTTTATCATAAAAAGCTTTTCTTCTGGGGGCTGGAGAGATGACTCAGCGGTTAAGAGTACTGACTGCTCTTCCAGAGGACCCGGGTTCAATTCCCAGCACCCACATGGCAGATCACAACTGTCTGAAGATCTAGTTCCAGGGGACCTGACACCTTCACACCAATGCACATAAAATAAAGTTAAACAAAATTAAAAAAAAAAAAGGCTTTTCTTCTTTAGTTATGATAGTTTTGCTGGGTATAGCAGTGTGGGTTGCCAGATACATGCTCTAGAGCTTGAAATACATCATTCCAAGCCCTCCTGGCTTTCAAATTTTCTCTTGAGAGGTCAGATGTTATTTACATTTGACTTGGTGCTTTTCTAAGGTTTCAATACTTTCTGTACTTAGTGTTTTCACTATGACATGGAAGTATGGTGTTATAAAAATGCTTCCTATACATTAACAGGCCTCTCTTTTAGACTTGAAAAAAGCTTCAATAAAATTATATTATTATTATATTATTGAAAATGTTTTCCATGCCTTCAGTTTTAAATTCTCATTTTTCTAGGCCCAGAATTTTTAGATTTGGGCTTTTTAGAGTGTCCTATATATCTTAGTGCACTTTACCTTAGTCTGAACGTTTCATCTAACCTTGAATTCTATCCCCAACATCCGGTCCTACTTTTGGTCCATTCTATTGGTAACTTTCTGAAACCTTTCAGCTTAGCACTTTTCAGTTCCAGTGGGTTTCTTAGTCTTGCTAGCTCTACATTGACTTACTTTGTAATGCCTATCAACTTCTTTCAGTCAGTCAATTGCATTCTTCCAGTTATTTGTTGTAGAATATTATTTTAAGGTGTGTTACTTTTGTTTATACTGCATCTGTTTAACTCAGTGAAGCTGTGTTACTCTACCTGTCTAAAACACCGGATGGTCGTCTAATAAAGAGCAAAACATGCAATATTGAGATTGGAGAGAGGACTAGGAGGGGCTGGAAGGCAGAGAGGATAAATATGAGAAATCTGGGAGAAAAGACAGGGAAACCAGAAAGGAAAGGGGGGAGGCTCCAAGGGCCTGCCACCCAACTATACAGCCAGACATTGAGTAAGAAGAAAAGTAAAGGTATACAGAAACAGAGACAGATAAGTCCCAAGGTCACAGATTCAACCCAATGCCCATGAAAATCCCAGCAAAACTCTTCACAGACTTCGAAAGAACGATACTCAACTCCATATGGAAAAACAAAAAACCGAGGATAGCCAAAACAATCCTGTACAATAAAAGAACTTCTGGAGGCATTACAATCCCTGACTTCAAACTCTACTACAGAGCTACAATACTGAAAATAGTCTGGTATTGGCTTAAGAACAGAAAGGAGAACCAATGGAAATGAATAGAAGACCCAGATATCAATGCACACATTTTCGAACACCCGATTTTTGAAAAAGAAACAAAAAATATCAAGTGGAAAAAAGAAAGCATATTTAACAAGTGGTGCTGGCATAACTGGATATCAACATGTAGAAGAATGAAAATAGACCCATATCTATCACCATGCACAAAACTCAAGTCCAAATGGATCAAAGACCTCATCAAAGCCAGCCACACTGAACCTGAAAGTGGGAAGTACACTTGAACGCATTGGCACAGGGAACCACTTCCTAAATATAACTCCAGCAGCACAGACACTGAGAGTAACAATTAATAAATGGGACCTTCTGGAACTGAAAAGCTTCTGTAAAGCAAAGGACACGGTCAACAAGATAAAACGACAGCCTAAAGAATGGGAAAAGATCTTCACTAACCCCACATCAGACAGAGGTGTCATCTCCAAAATATACAAAGAACTCAAGAAATTGGTCACCAAAAGAACAAATAATCCAATTAAAAAAATGGAGTATAGACCTAACAGAGAACTCTCAACAGAGGAATCTAAAATGGCTGAAAGACACTTAAGGAAATGTTCAACATCCTTAGTCATCAGAGAAATGCAAATCAAAACAACTCTGAGATTCCATCTTACACCTGTAAGAATGGCCAAAATCAAAAACACTGATGACAACTTATGCTGGAGAGGTTGTGGGGAAAAGGGAACACTTCTGCATTGCTGGTGGGAATGCAAGCTGGTAGAGCCCCTTTGGATGTCAGTGTGGTGATTTCTCAGAAACTGGGAAACAACCTTCCTCAAGACCCAGTAATACCATTTTTGGGTATATATCCAAAGGATGCTCAATCGTGACACAAGGATATGTGCTCAACTATGTTCACAGCAGCATTGTTTGTCATAGCCAGAACCTGGAAACAATCTAAATGCTCCTTGATCAAAGAATGGATAAAGACAATGTGGTCCATTTACACAATGGAGTACTACACAGCAGAAAAAAAAACATTTTGAATTTTGCAGGAAAATGGATGGAGCTAGAAAACATTATTTTGAGTGAGGTAACCCAGACACAGAAAGACAATTATCACATGTACTCACTCATAGGTGGTTTTTAAATATAAAGCAAAGAAAACCAGCCTACAAACCACAATCCCAGAGAATTTAGACAATAATGCGGACACTAAGAGAGACTTACATAGATCTAATCTACATGGGAAGTAGGAAAAGTCAAGATCTCCTAAGTAAATTGGGAGCATGGGAACCTTGGGGGAGGGTTGAAGGGGGAGTGAAGAGGCAGGGAGGGAGCAGAGAAAAATGTAGAGCTCAATAAAAATCAATTAAAAAAAAAAAGTCCCAAGGCCAAAGATAGATGGGATAATTTAAGAAAATTTGACAAGAAACAAGCCAATTTAAAGCTGGGTGTTTATAAGCAGTAATAAACTGTGTGATTTGGGAGGCAGGTGGTGCACACCCCCCCCCCAAAAAAGCCTAAAGAGTAATCAACAAATTTGTGCACCTTCTTTTGACTTCATTAAATATACTTATAATCATTCTGATTCTTTGTCTAGGATTTCTTCTCTCACTGGATGACATTTCTGTGGAACTAGTAACTTTTGGGTTATGTTGCCTTGGTGTTTCCATGTTTGCTTCTGTCATAATGCATACAGACGCACCTTTTTATTTGACAGGGTCACATATAGCCATCTTGCTAAACACCTCTGACACTTGTCTTTTCTGCCTCCATCTCTCAAATGCTGTGGTTATACATGTATACCATGAACCCTGGCCTCATCTTGTCAGTCTTAAATTTAAAGTTTATCACTATCTTTTTAACATTTTACTCTTTTGAATATCCATAGACCCTATGTTTCATCTTCCATTCCTGATGGTAGGTTTTTGTTTAGTCCTGAAAACTTCAAGACAAAACAAAAAACTGGGTTTAAAAAATTTTATATTTTTATTATACTGACTTCTGAATTTTTTTCTTAAAACTTAGTGTTTTAATTATTTCATCTTTTTTTTTTTTATTTCAGGTTTATTACATGACAGCCTTTAGCCACTGCTTTAAATGTGGGGGGAAAGATCTCTGATATTTTTACTGGCCAGATCTTTTCTATGATTTTTCACTGTCTGACTCACATCACACTGAAAAGTATTGATATCTGAATATTGGTTTTAAGTTGTTTTTTTTTTTTTTTTTTGGTTTTTCGAGACAGGGTTTCTCTGTGGTTTTGGAGCCTGTCCTGGAACTAGCTCTTGTAGACCAGACTGGCCTCGAACTCACAGAGATCCGCCTGCCTCTGCCTCCCTCGTGCTGGGATTAAAGGCGTGTGGCACCACCGCCCGGCCTGGTTTTAAGTTTTTGACTACAGATTTACAGGGATATTCTCTAAGATTTCAGTCATCTGAAATACATCAAAACCTGTTTCATGAGCCCTCAGACTATCTTGGCGAAATCTCATGTGTAATAGAAAAATCATGTCCAATGTAATGTTGCATGAATATTAGAATAAGGTAATTCATCCACTCAGACTTCCTTTAGCTTCATACTTAATTACATACTTATTGAGACATGTAATTGTCCAAGCAGGCCTTTTAATCTCCACAGCCTGAATATCTAGGGTTCTAATTATGTATTGCAGCAACCAGCTTATATTTAAAAGCAAACAAAATAAAAACATTCTGGCTGGAGAGATGGCTCAGCAGTTAAGAGCTCTAGCTGCTCTTTCAGTGGTCTTGGGTTCCATCCCCAGCAATCACATGGTGAGTCACAGCCATCTGAAACAGGATCTAATACTCTTCTGGAATGCAGGCAAATGTTTAAAAAATACATAATCTAAAAATCTATTAATTGCTGAAGCTGTATTAGAATTGGAAACTATGGTTATGACCTCACCTACCCATGTTTTCATTAACATACTTATAAAGGTTCTGTAGTAGTAGAGGTACATTGTTTTCTTTTGATTAGGTGCCATGTCTCATGATTACAATATGCTCTTGGAGCAATAAAACACCATCTGCCTTAAAGTATACCTTATATCCATACTTCATTAACATTTCACAGTGTATCTTTTTTTAAAACCCACGTTGTATTTAAATTCACTCTTGGTTGTTCAGTTTCACCGTCTCTACCTTGAACTAGAGTTTTGTATACCTTCAGTTAATACAATTAATGATAAACGTTTATTGGACATCACTGGCATATTCCTCTTGTACAGAGAGACCATTTGCTATTTGTTTTTGTTATTGTATGTCTTATTTTTCATTTACTTGTGAGCCAGAGGATAAATGACTAGCCAATTCACTTCTTCCACCAAGTGTTTCCTAGAGACTGAACTCTCTGAAGCACCTTACCCCAGTGAGCCACCTCATGGTCTTGTTTTCTACTTTTTGCTGGTTTTCCTTCTCCGCTTTCTGTTGTACCACTCTGATTACACTATAAACTCAAACTGTACCTGCAGGTTTGCTGGTTGCTCTAAGGATTGTGATGAGCATCTTCACCAGACTACTTTAGCATCCTAAACCAACAAATTCTGCAGTGCTGTTCCATCTACTATCTCTTTGTTGTTCAAATCTCTGCCTTTAACTGAGTGTTTAGAGTGT